GTGCTGCTCCAGATCTTGAAGCACTGAACCTAGGTTATTCAGATCTCTAGCTAACTCTGGAAGCACCGAACCAAGGTCATTTAAATGTATGGCTAAGTTTGGATGGTTATTTTCATATATATGTTCGTCAATAGCAACTGCTCTTTCAAAGCATTTCCTTGCTTCCACGTACTGCTCCAGATCTTGAAGCACTGAACCGAGGTTATTCAGATCTCTAGCTAATATTGGATGGTTGTCATCATATATACGTTCGTCAATAGCAAGAGCTCTTTCCATGCATTTCATTGCTTCCTCGTACTGTCTGAGATCTTGAAGAACCGAACCGAGGTGACTGAGGTCTATGGTTAACGCTGGATGGTTGTTATCATAAATTTTTTCATCAATTTCTAATGCTTTCTCCAAACATTTCTTAGCGTCGTCGTACTGATTGAGATCACGTAACAAGCATCCAAGATTAACTAATGCTATAGCTAAATTTCGGCTATTTTTGTTGCATTCACTTTCTGCGATTCGAATCGCTAACTCGAAATATTCCTTGGCATCAACATATTTACCTACTTTCTTCAAAACAAGACCAAGATCATTATACCTCTCGAATAAACATGGATGATCCTTGCCAAATCTTTTCTGGTCAACAGAAAGTGCTTTTTGCATAAAGGTTTTCGCTTCTGCGTGTTTGTGCAGATCGTAGGAAGCCATTGCCAAATTATTCAATATTTTTCCTAAAAAAGGGCTGCTTCCACAGTTTTCTAGAAGTGATATTGAATCTTTTACGTATTTTTCTGCTTCGTTGAATTCTTCTAGCCGTGATGTAGTCATTGCTAGATTGGTTATTGTTCTCAAGTAATAACTACAGTCTTGCTCATTATTGTCATTGAGCGAATACTGAAATCTTGTCAGTGCTTCTTCAAAAAATACTCTGGCCTCAGGAAATTCTCCTAGGTCATAATGAATTTCTCCAAGTTTTTTTCGCACCATTAAAATATCTGTTGCTTCGCATCCATTGTCATTGTATAAAGCTAAAGACATTTCGAAGCAAGTTTGTGAAGACCTAAATTCTCCATTTAGAAGGAATGCTTCACCAATAGAACGACATAGACATTTCGCCACAGCTATCCTATCGTCTTTGTTCAAAGCATTTGATGTTCGGAAGAAACTGAAATTTGATTGGACAATTTCCACTAATACTTTAAAGTGTTGCGCTAGGTATCTTGCTGCTTTTACAAAATTGTAATCCGCTGCCTCGTCATCACTTGTATTGAGGTAAGAAAAAGTTGAGATTACCTTTGTCAACTTAAGGAAATCTCCTTGAACTGCAGGTCTTATGGTTTCTTGCAGTATACTGTGTACAATCTGGTGTACATGGATGTCGTGGCTATCATTTGCAATGAGAACAAGAGAAGAACGTGCAATGTGAGCTTCTATCAGCTCTTCTCCTTCATCAGGCATAAAGAGCTGAACATATTGAACAAGGTACTTTATCGGTATTGGATCTTGAGCAAGAACTGATAAATATTCAAATGCGAGTACCATGATCTTGTCTTCTTGGATCACTTTACTTAAAGCTATCTTCACAGCTGTTGTCATCGATTGTGGATAGACTTGACCGCTTGCGTTGATGTAGGGTTTTTCAGTTTGTTCACGTTTTCCTTCTTGGATCTTTGTAAGGCAGTTTGACCAAGTAAAGGTGGAGCGGTACTGATTAACTAAATTCATATAGACAGCGGTACAGGCAAGGGCAAGAGGTTGAAAATCAAGAGCTTTCGCAATTTCAATCACCGTCTTCATCTTGATATTGCTGTGAAATGGTACAAAGTGCATGAACAGCGTCATCAGGCTTCATTCCTTCACTTAGAGATTTGTGGCAGATTTTAGGACTTGTTGGAGAAATGGAGTGACTGTCTTGTGTAGTCACCAAGACCTGTCCTTTCCCTGTTGCTTTTTGCCGCAAAGTCGGGAAAAACATTGAAGACTTCTTAAGATCAACAACGTTATCTRCAATCAATAACCACGAGGAGAGCAATGCCAATTTTGGGTTGACAAGTCCAATTAAATTCCAGATTTTATCCTCTGGTTGTGAGAGGGCTTTTGAGCATATAATACTTTGGATGTAATCTTCTTCTATTCTGAGAAGACGTGAGAAGTTAATGTATGACCTTAGTAGTGTGTCCACACTCGAAGCATTGAGTGTAGCAACGAATGTCGGCAACGCAGCACTAGCAGTTTCATCAAAAACCCTTTCACCAATTTGTCTTGCTGTTTGACTTTTTCCACTGCCTGGATTTCCCGACAAGTAGACATATGTCACCTCGTTTGGATGGAGGCTTTGTAAGGATTTCATCTCTTTTATTATGGAGTCTACTTCACTCGAGCGCGGAATGGCTTCATGTGATGGCTTGGGTGGCAAATCACAAAATGTCTGTGGCTCCTGGTTGCGCCTTTTCTCTTTATCAAGCTGTTCCTGAATCTTTTTGAGCTCATCTGTTTGAAAACTGGTTTGGGATTTAAGCTTTTTAACGACATTTGTGTCGAGTTTTAAATCATCGAAAGCGTTGATTACATCTTGTGTCGAAGTCTGGAAATCTGCATCTGTAACTTTGCATTGATGGTAGTGGGCATATTTGTTACGATATTGTCGCAGATCATCTACAGCTTTCTTCACTTTTGAGTGAAGCCCGTTCTTTCCTATGCAATCAGAGTAAAGGATCGCGTAAAACAGGCAAGTGCAGTCCCATTCTCCTCTGTTTCCATTTCTGATTATAGAAAGTTCTTTTGCCTTCAATTTTTGTTCTTTTGGAGGTATCAAGCTGAAGAAATCGGCTCCATTTTTTGCAGTGTCGTTCCACTCCCCATGTGATGTCTGATAGCGAGCGTCCCACTCTTTTTTGAATACTATACGAAGGCCATCAGGAATAACTTGATATGTTGTGCAACATGTCCTGAAGAAGTTCAACTATTCTACATCGAATGTGTCAGGATATTCCATAGTAATCTGGACCATTTAAAGAAGTCAAAGTAAGTATGTACTTGTATGTATTCCTATATTTATTCGTACGTGAATTATTTCAGTTAGTGTCATGTTTCCATCGAGGGAAACTAGTGATTAAAATATTAGAAATTTCTCATAACAAATTAGACCGTAAAAACCACAATGCAGAATTTGTGATAGGTTGGCCAAAGTTTGGGACACTAATATATAATTTCCAGCCTCGCTGCTCCCTATAACACTGGAAAAAATCGCGCGCTTTAAAGGTTGTAAATTTATGGTAAATATGATGTAAGTGTCCAAAATTCTGTAAATTTAATGGAAATCATTTACGTCAAATTTACAGAATTTTGGACACTTACATCATATTTACATCAAATTTACAACCTTTAAAGCGCACGATTTTTTCCAGTGTAAGAATGAATCTTTGTATGCATTTCGCATTAAGCCCCTTTGTGTCAGGCGTCGCTATTTTCTGTGGCTTTGAAGCTGAAAGTAATTGTGCAATTGAGTGTACAAAAAAAAATAAACACACTGAGTGGTATTTTTTTATTAAACTACTGATTACGGAATTCAAAACTAAACAGACAGTAAGAGCGAAGTACATGTATTCCGGTTCATGAAAGAGGATGTTTGTCACTGGTTCGCAGACGAGCATAACGCGAGTTTTTCAGCTGCACGAAGTCTGTCTTTCATTTTAAGCGGTGTTCATATAAACTACCATGTTTACACAATACAATACGAAAGAGCGTTTCCAAATGCTCATCGATCTCTTTTAAACTGTATTAGCCTCAGAAGTATGTAATTCATTTGATTCAATAACAGCCCGTGCAAATGCAAGATCTGAAAATGCTTTGAAATCTCTCATTTTTAACAATAAATTTCTGCACATTTTACACAACTGCAATTGCATGACAAAAAAAAAACAAAAAACAAAAAGAGAAACAAAACTCATGCACTATTGTCAAATATCATCTTTCTCTTTTTGTTTTAGAAAAGATGGAAGAACGAATGAGAGATACAGATTGCACAAACCTTTAAAATGCATTTTCATTTCGTCTTTTTTAGTACTTTTGCTGGTCCAATCATTCAATCCATGCACACTGAAACAACTCGATTTCTGAACGCAAAACAGAGAAAAAAATGAAATATCAGTGTCCTAAGTGAGAGTCTAGAACTATGTTATATGCAAATTCCGTGACTGAATTTAATAAATTTGACCTGAAAGGTAGCATAAACAATACAAACGGTACAGTCTTTGAAG